ACACACACAATGCGTGTGTGTGTGGTGGTGGTGGTGGTCCCCACCTGGTAAAGGATTTTGCAATGGCTCTCCTGTGCAGCCATTCGAAGTCCCTGGCACATGCAGAAATTAGACTTTCCGTTGCTTGTGGATACACTTCCACAACTGCGTCCCTGTGATAAGCAACACTAGTGCATTTGCACAAGGATTGTAAAGAACAATATCCAGAGACGAAAATTTGGCTTGAAGATATCAGTCTGACAAATCCAGACACAGCATTAACGAGGGGGTCATCTAAAATTGGTATAGGTGTATTATATCAGTCGCGATCCACGCATGGCAGTATCGAGGGGAAACACATGCTTTTTGTTCCGGTTAACCCAGAAAATACTATTTTTGAGAGGCTGGTTACTTGCTTTGAATATGAAAGCAATCCTATCCGAAGGGATATTCCTTTTTGTTCAAATATATTATGTCAACTATATATTTATATGTATATATGCTACAAAGTAGTTCAGTCTGGTGTGCCTGGTGTTGCAAGTTTTTGATTGAGGGGTTTTCTAACAGCTAAAAGACCACTTGGGTGTCTCACAGGAGAGAGACTGAAATTTTGCAAGTTCAGTGAAATTTTAAGAGTTGCTAGCACCCCTTCCCCGTTGGCTGAGCTCAGCTTAGAACAAGGTTGTATTATAACCTTCGCCTGCCTTCACTTAGGGCTGCCGACTGTGTCGAAAATAGGTCCTGTAGGGCATATCGAGGCCTTGTGCCTCGCAGCACCATCTTACAAGTGTTTATTAAGACTTGGGCGAATTACATTGCCTGAGCTCTTATATAATGTAACTCTAGAAATATTGAATGCTCAAGATGTCAAGCTAAAGGATGAATTCCAATATGCATCCATCAATCAAAACATCTATGATCTTGGAAACGGTTATTGAGAATTTTAGTGTAGCAGAATCCAGAGTACTAGAAATACTTGTAAGAACAATCCTCACCACCAATATTTCCGAGGCACTCTTCTCAGGGGCTGGAACCGGCCTGCGTATCAAGTGCCATATTTCATTCTTTGGCTGGGAAACATACTGGTGGTGTAAGCAAAAAATCCGCATGACGTAATGCCAGCCTTCGCCACTCTCTCTAGAACCAAGTCCTCGCTCCGCGTATGGTCATGACCAGAGGGGTTGGGGCAACTGTCGCTGCGAACACACTAGCCTCGTTGGACATGCATGGTTTGTCCCTCCAATGCCTCAAGTTCGGCAGATCCACAATGTCACTGCAAGGACTACCGAAACATGCTCATGACTCCGAGGGAATGTCTCGAGTTTTGGGTTCCTTATCTGTATCCTTATGCAACATCCGCTTCTCCTTGTACATGTTCACCACATTGTGCACAGCCCGCATTGCGTGAGTCTGGCGTTATGATCCGCAAGCCATAGTGGGATGTTCATGTGCGGCCTTCATGTGATGGCAAATGCCTTCACGCTTAGCATCCTTGTCCAATCATTGGGACTTCGCAAATAGTGTTTGCCAAGTCCGTTTCGAATGATTTCAGGATGCAGAAGTGCACCTTCCGGAACCCCAACCATAGAGAGCCGGATTTGAAAATCCATCTATGGATGAGGCAGCTTGCAATGCCAAGCACGACTTTGCCAGTGGAATTGCCGCGCGCAACTCTACAGCATTCAAGGTCTGGATAACAAGTTCACGCGGTTAGCATTTTAGGGTGGGGAGTGTTTGATCGTTTGCTCGCCGCTTGCTCCGTCGGACAAGCGTTGGACTCCAAACCATACCCCGTTGTCTGGACGCTGCCAGCATCCACCCATATCTTTGCTCTCAAGCACCTCAAGGTCTCAATGTCTGGCGAGCAGTCTTCATCTTCCTCTGTCGGTAATCCGTCCCATGCCTTTTGTCATCCTTGGAACCCTGCCCCTTACGACAATGTCCATAGACGTTGCCATTGCATTTTCCCCGTGTAGGCGCCACTACTCGATGTCTGCCAGCCGGTCCCTGGGTGCCAACCTCTTAGGCTCCCCCGACTCCGCTCTCCGTGTATGCTTGCTCCTCACCAAGTGTCCTTGCTATGGTGGACATGCAATCCTCCTGGATAGGCTTTGTGCTTATGGCGACATTCTTCGAGGGGACAAAGGGCTGAAAGTGCTGCCTCGTATGGGGCTTTCAGCACATGATAGTGGATGCTCCTCGTTTCCTGGACTTTCGTATAGGCGGGCGTCAACGCCGCAGCGGTTGGCGATACTCCTTTCGCCACATCCTTCACCGCTCGTCTTTATGGTGAAGATGACAAAAGAATATTACATGTGTGACCGCTAATGATGATACTGCAGCGAATATTTTTTGTCAGAAAATAAAAACAAGAGCAAGGCATAATACATTGTCCTCTCTTCCTCGCACCTTCGATGCCCGACAACCCCTAGCAACATGTGCCTAGACAGGGGATTATGCCCCATGATACTACCTAAATTCAACTTTGGTATGGGACTGGGTGACCTCAGATGACATGAGAAATAAGGTGGTTGATACTACTTTATAGGCTCACCGTGCTACTAACTCCACAGCAGAGAACCATGATGTCAGAAGAACAATCCAGTTGGGGTAGTTTTGGAAAACCCTACAAAATACATAGAGGAAGAGCCCTATAAGATACATAGAGGAAGAGACCCTCTTTGCCGCTTTAACCAAGCTCATGCTAAACGGACACCGGTCATCATTCTCCCTCCGCAGGTCATTATTACCCCTTGTTGTTCATCTCACTACGTGGTCAATTGGGGGAATCGTTTTTCACCGAATGTTGCACTGGAACTGTCATATTGCCTTGATGTTTTGCTTTTTTTCTTGTTTTTGTTTTTGTGTGATATATAGGTGCTTTAGCGTACATCAATGTGACTAGTTCTTAAATATTTTAATGAAAAAGTTGGCATTTCTCTAGATTCGTATTTTTTATGTTTGTTCTATAGACCCATGTAGTTTGTTTTGAATCTCTTGATGAATTATGCACCTTTAGGCAAAAATAACAATTTTTCAGTCCTAGCCAAACCGCGTGTCTGTCTCGAGGACGACCCTTTGTAGAGGTGACCTCGCTGTTCTCATCAAAACGTTTAAAATAGTCTTTGAATTGTCTATTTGTTCTCGGAGGCAGCATGCATGAGGATTAATTGGGGATCTAAGACAAAGGGTTGGGTGGCTGTACCTAGATGGATAACACCCTTGAATCACCCAAACATTAAGAGGAACGCTAAAGAGACAACTATCAGAGTGCTAGGCATAAGACTTACTGCATGTGGCCTTCACTAGTCCACAAAGAGACATTAATTTATGTGGTGATGTAGACCCTCTCAAGATGAAAGGGCCTACAGACGTCATCATAAATCTTAGATTTGCTAACACATTGCACTTTGGCCCCCACCAGACCATAGAGAGATGTTGCACTTCGGCCCCCAACAGACCATAGAGAGATGTTAATTTATGTAGTGATGCGGACCCTCTCAGGATGAAAGGGCCTACATAACTCACTATGGGTAGAGCTTTAACGATTAACAATGCACTCATTTTACAAATTGGTATAAAGTGGTTACAACCCAAACATATTTACAATCTTAAATTTGCATTGTTGGCACGCTTATGGAAGGAGGACTTGGAACGCCGATGAGACCACCTGCATCAAAAAGATGTCTTTAAAATATATCTCACAGCCAAGAGCTAATGATGGTGTGATAAAGACTTTGAAGATGAGATAATTGCCTCGCTTTTTTTTAAGTCATAATTAGGCTACTCATGACCAATGACAAAAGATCCAGATCCACAACTTGGCCCCTAAGCTTGAGGCATTCATCAGACAAGCAAAAACCTTCCTCCGTATC